CTACGAAACTTGTTTTGTACATTTTCAGGGGACACTTGACTCTCTGGGGCATGGCCCATACCTGACTGGCTCTGGCTGTTAAGTGTCTGTGCACCTGCTCTGTCCGACAGCAGAACCCACAAAAACTTTGATATTGCATACCTTATCGCAATTCGCCTTGTGGCCTGTGGCAAATCGAAACTAAAAATGTTTTGGGCTAATTTCGCAACACTTTCGACTAGGCAGATACCTTGGAATCCTCGAATCTAAGAGTCTATTGTGTTAAGTTAAAATGAGTTAGATAAACAGATAGCAGAGACTTCATATGCTGAAACGCCCTGCTGCTGCTATTCAATGGTTACAGGGTATATAATCTAAAACTTGGCAAATTCGCTTTGTCAGCTTTGTGCTTGCCGCAAACAGCAGAACCTTTTGTGTGGCCTGGCTTAACAAGGGAGCCAACATATTTGGCCCACACACACACACACACAAACACTCGCACACTCAGTTATCCACAAATAGATAGAGTGTCAACTGTTTTTTTTTCTTTTTGCCATTTGTTGCGCATGAAAAACTGCAGCGCATCAATAAACTTGAATTTTTTGCATAGCCCGCGCCCAGCTGGGGTCAGAGGTTAAAGGCTAAAGAAAGAGCAGAAGAGCGAGGGGGAAAGAGATAGAGAGAGTTAGCGCACTTGAAACCGTTAGTATTCCCGGAACGTCAGCCGGCAATTGATGCGTTTTTTGCTGTTAAGCAGCAACTGGCTGGAAAAAAGGAATGAAAGGGTTTGCGCGAGGTTTGTGGCGGGTGTAAACAGTTAAAGGGTTAAAAAATGAACTCGCGCTCATAATAAACAATTTTCATGGCCTCTTTTTTATGGCATCTACATATGTTGGCCTGGCCCGAAGCCAGAGCCTGACCATAAACCAACAGAAACCACCACAGCCATAAACTAGTTGACATGGCTGCTGTCTCGGTACTTTATTCCATTACACATCCTTCCAATTCAGTTCCAGTGTAGAGTATAGAGTGTAGAGTGTAGAGTGTAGAGTGTAGAGTGTAGAGTGTAGAGTGTAGAGTGTAGAGTGTAGAGTGTAGAGTGTAGAGTGTAGAGTGTAGAGTGTAGAGTGTAGAGTGTAGAGTGTAGAGTGTAGAGTGTAGAGTGTAGAGTGTAGAGTGTAGAGTGTAGAGTGTAGAGTGTAGAGTGTAGAGTGTAGAGTGTAGAGTGTAGAGTGTAGAGTGTAGAGTGTAGAGTGTAGAGTGTAGAGTGTAGAGTGTAGAGTGTAGAGTGTAGAGTGTAGAGTGTAGAGTGTAGAGTGTAGAGTGTAGAGTGTAGAGTGTAGAGTGTAGAGTGTAGAGTGTAGAGTGTAGAGTGTAGAGTGTAGAGTGTAGAGTGTAGAGTGTAGAGTGTAGAGTGTAGAGTGTAGAGTGTAGAGTGTAGAGTGTAGAGTGTAGAGTGTAGAGTGTAGAGTGTAGAGTGTAGAGTGTAGAGTGTAGAGTGTAGAGTGTAGAGTGTAGAGTGTAGAGTGTAGAGTGTAGAGTGTAGAGTGTAGAGTGTAGAGTGTAGAGTGTAGAGTGTAGTGTAGAGTGGCGTGTGTGTCGTGTCGAGTGTCGCGTGTGCGTGTCGCGTGTCGCGTGTAGAGTGTCTAGAGTGTGTGTGTGTGCGGTGTAGACGTGTCTGTGAGTGTGTGTAGATGTAGAGTGTAGAGTGTAGGTGTAGAGTGTAGAGTGTAGAGTGTAGAGTGTAGTGTAGAGTGTAGACGTGTGTGTAGAGTGTAGAGTGTAGAGTGTAGAGTGTACAGATATATATCTTTAGAAGTGAGTCACAGGCGACGCTGTTGAGCTCAGTCTGGAAGCAAGCCAAAGTAATGTAAAGGCAGAAGGTGCCACCTTCTGTTGCCGTTGTTGGTTTTGTCGTACCTTTGTTTGCCATCTGAAATAGTCCCATCCACAGAGTCCACAGTCCAGAGAGTCCATCTCCCCCCAACCTGACTGAAACACTCGACTTTAATTGAAAAACTTTTTTGCAGCCGTGTAAAACAATTGTGTGGGCGTGACGCTGCCTGACGTGGGGGTGGGCTGGCGGTTCGTCTCATATTTTGAGCGGGAAATCAATTAGAAAATTGTGGCGGCGAAAAATGTTCAGGGAAAATTGTCAAAACATAATAATAATAATTGGCATCGACAGAGCAGCCAATGGGCAAGCAATGTTGCATTAAATGTGCCATGTTTAACATGAAACGTGCAACATGCCACATGCCGCATGCCGCATGCCACACGCCACATGCAACTCAATTATTAAGTACAAAGTTGGTGGCAGTGCCAAAGTGCATGCATGTACATATGTGGCATGAGGCTTTAATTGAATTGTTTCGATCTTTAAGCTGGAATTGATACGATGTGAAGGCAACAGCCAATATAAAATGTGTACAAAATAAAAAATATTTGAAATCTACTCATGATTTTTCAACAGCTTCATATATCTGTCTCATCAAGTTTTATATTCTAACTAATACACCCATAACATAAACGATATGTCTTTAGTTAAAAAATATATAGCTAATATATAGTCTAGCATTTTGTACCTTATATGATCATTAAGATCTTAAGATCCGTGGCTATCTGGAAAGACTTAGCTATACTCCTAGCAATAACAACATTATTTATATCTAATTTTTCTATATTTCTGAGCTCTTGAAGCTTATTCATTTCAATGTCTATTTATCCCTATCGATATCATTGCAATATTTTTCCACACTCACGCGCTAAACAAAATGTCTTTTACCAACACTAACATCGTTCATATAACGACACACGCGTCCTGCTCTTGTTAAACATGAAACGATTTCACATGACATTCAAAAGTTGACAAATTGTTTGCAATTCGCCGCATTTTTCCCCTGTCGTTGTCCAACACTAATATGCACTAACCACAGCAGCTCGTCACTGTCAGCTGCAACAGCAACGTTTGTTGTTTTCCACGTCATTTAGCCAACTATTCTCTAGAGGACGTTGGTTAGATACTCTAAAAGATACTCGAAAGCATTTGAAATTTTGTAATTTTAATATTTTAAGCATTTAATTTAATTTACTCATATATAAATAATAAAAAATTAAAAATTAATATTAATTTGTATATCTGGAAAATTTTCATTTCATTCAATTTATTTATATACAAATTTAAATGAATATTTTGAAAATTTGATTGAAATGTTAATTTTATTTAATAATTATTTTAAACTAATTAAACTTTTTAAAATAACTAAAATAACGTTGATTACTTTATTTTCTACATACTTAAATTTAACTATAACAAAACTTGATGTTAACTTGGCAAATATCAGTCTAAAATTGGGCAAAACTCTTAGCCGAGTCCGAGTTTTCGTTGCAGAATTTTGTTTGCATTTTATTTTAATTTCTGTGGTTTTTGTTTTGCTTTCATTTTTTGTTTTGGGGGCACTTCTTTGTTGGAATTTGCAAATGTATTCGCAGCTGGTTCTGTGCCTGGTCTCCATCAGTCTGCGGCTAGTTGAATGATGTTGACATTTGCCACACTGCCCCACACGCAGCTGGCTACAGCTCAACAGTTTCACACATGCCCCTCACACATGTGAGCGAGCCGAGTGAAGACGAAGCGAACACTTGCCACAAATGGCAGCACTGCAAGCCAGTTGCGTTTCATCTGGCAGCTAATTATGAAGCACTTGCATTTCAAGCAGAGCCAACAACAACAAATCCAATTAGTCTGACTCACCAGAGAATCACCGAATCGCCGTCTATGGGTCCTGAGCACTGATTGCTGAGCATTAAATCAGACTCGGAATATTATTAAAGTTATTAAAGTTAGTACAAGCAAATGCAAATACAATTGTATAAAATATTTGAAATCTAGTCTATTTTGAAGGGCAACTCGAATTTATAGTTGGGGAGCGAGAGAAAACTTATGTGACGAAAAGCTCTTGGAATGTTGCAAGCAGCTTAAATCGGACTGTAAATTGCATGTGGAAATCATGAGGTATTCTCTAGAAATTAGTGAAAATACGCTCATACTCCAAATCGCTTATTTCAAGGAATTGCGCAATGAAGGCGTCAGCTATTAGAAATGAATATTTTGTCCCTTGGCCAAGTCCCAGCTGCAGAAGCTAGAGACTACTCAATTGAAATCGTTCAGAGCAACATCACATGAGTAGCGAAGGCTATATTGGGCTGCTAGTAAATCACAGCTCTATTAATTTATAGCTCTGATCAGTTAGCCCAGCTAACAAACTTGACACGACTCTGCTTAGCTTGAAGTGTATTTAGTTCAAACTGAATTAAATATATGAATGTTTAATATAAGTATACAGATGTTAATTAAAAAGGGCTCACTATACGAGTGAGGCGAGCAGAATATAAAAGCAGTATATACGAAAACGTGAGTAAGTAAGGCAGGCGCATCGAGGAGCCTTGCTGACACGCGAAAGCCACGTTTATTGCTGATTGACAGACAAAGCCAGAAACGAAACATGAAGACGTGGCACACACAGAAGGAGAAAGAGAAAGAGAAAGAGCGAGGAGAGGCTCATTCGTTGCAACAGCTATGAGTAACGGGAGTTGGTAGCCTCTTAATGGGGCAGCTACTCGTAGTGCAATTGTGCAATTCATTATTTTTATGTATTTTTAAGTGGCGCCAACGGCTTCGGCCTGCGACTCGGGCCAAATGTGCCAAATGACAGGCCATTTGCCAAGGCCGGCACACGTGTGCATGGCACTGCAGAAGGGTCGCATTTATGACAGCCAAAGCCAAAAGAAAACTAACAGATTTACGCAAAACCCAAATTTAATGAGGCGTCATAAATGGATGCAAAGCGCGTTTAGCTTTTATGGCAGCCAGCAATAAGATTTTCAATTTTCGATTTTCGCATTTGGCGTACCTGCTCGTTGAGGGATTACCTGATTGTAGGGCGCCCAGGTAGAGCCAGGGCAGCGCCAGACGCTTAAATAGCCGAGCCGCTGCTAGCTGGGCAAACAGTAGCCACACGGCAGCCAAGCAAGCAAGAGCATATTCAATCCAACCTCAGACGATCATGGGCAGCACACACTCCGACTGCAATAGCAAAGTAAGCAGCTATGGCGATACGACGCCCAGTCAAATGGGCTGCTGCCTGTCGGCACGTTCACAGTGGAGCCAACTGGTGGCCCAGCTGCAGCGCAATTTGACCAAGAAGCGTCGCTGCGCCTTTCAGCGTGGCTGTGGAGCACGCACAGCACTGCTGCGGCCCATGCCTAGATGCTCCTCCTTTGGCAGCTGCAGCACACTACTGACGCCCAGCAAGCAGCAGCTGCAGAAGAAGAAGAGGAAACAGCAGAAGCCGACGACAACGCTGGCGGACAACAACTACGCTCAGTGGAAATGCATGTTCGAGCATGCTGAAAGCAAGCGACTGCTGCCCAAAGTCCATGACATTAGCGAAGCGCTCTCGGGACAGACAACGCCTCGAGGCTTTCCCTCGCACACGGACGTACGTCGCTGCACGTTGGCCGAACAGCACAAGCTGATGGAGGAAACTCAGCCGGTGCCTCTCTACGATGACTGCAAAGTGAAACGTCGTCTTAGCTTCCGTTTGCCCGGCAGCAGCGGCCAGAGCAGCGTGCGTCGTCTGTCCACGCGCCAAAAGGCCGACCAGGCCAAGCTCGAGGAGCAGCTGGAGCGAGAGCTACGTGATCTGGAGGAGTACTACGGCGCCTTTCACTATGCACGGCGCAACGAGCGACGCATTTGAAGAACAAAGCAAGAGAGACAGAGAGTGGGAGTTGACAAATGGAATCCCTAATGTGATAGCTTTTAATATATTTTACTTAAGTTAGTCTAAGGACAATTTGAATGAAATTCAATCTGAAATAAATGGAGAAAACCGAAAAAACAATCAATCAGTCAATCAGAGTCAATTATTACTAGCTGAAAATCATTTGAACTGAAATGAGGGAGCTGAAGAGAGTTGAACAACATAGAAGTGCGATTTCTGCACTCAATCAATCAGTCAATCAAAGGCTTTAGAATGTCATTAGCATGACAGTTCAGTGTTGTCAGTTCATGCAATCAATCTTGGGTTAAAGACTTCACTTGTAGTTCAAGATATTCACAGTTCAAATAAGCAAAGTTCATGACAGCACTCTGAGCTCTGTAGTCAATCAATCAATCAATCAATAATTATACCCATTGAACATGAGATTCACGTAAGATAAAAAGAGAGGCAGCATACCTAGGCAAAGATCATTTCAGTACTAGTAAAAATCACATTCAATCATATTATTTATAGTCAATCAATCAGTTCAGTAGTAGTAGTAGGTAAGCATTTCAGTCAAGTAATTGTGATTGGTAAAATAGAATTATAAAAATTAGAATTCACAACTCCAATGCTAAATGGAATACATCACAGCACAGTCAATCAAATACTAATGAAGCCAACGCTCTTACTTCATATAGAAACATCGAAATTAAGCAGTTCAATTTCATAAAATAGTTGTTTACTCAATCAATGAATTCATCCATCAATCAAATCAATATCTGATGTCAGAGCAAATAAATTGCATTTAGTCAATCAGTCAATCAATCAGTTCATTGAAATATATACACTTGCAGTTATACAAATGCTTTATTCTTTTAAACGTTGCCCGATCAAGGTTCGATAGCTTAAGTAAAGAAGTCAATCAATCGCAATACTTTCATTCGATATGTGAATGGAATTGCCTTTATTCTTTAATATGGTTCATATTCAATTCATAAATCGGAAATAGATATACGAAATGAGTAGAAATTCTGTGATGCATGAAGACAAATCTGCTTTTTAGTATAAATGGAACAGTAATTGGGTAACATTTGTGCAGCCAGCTATTATTTGGAGAGCTCAGGCAGCCAACGTCCCTAAATGGGGGCAGGGTCACTGGCAAATGCCACTGGCAATTAATCAGAGTCAATGAATTCGCTGCCAACTTGCAAGCAAAACATAAATAAAACAAGAAAATGCTAACAAAACCTAAGCCAAAATGCAGCCAAAAATGCAACAGCCAAAAGAACGAGAGCAAAAACGAAGGCGCAAAAGAGAGAAAGGGAGAGCAGCATGATTTTGAGATCTTTTGTGGCTTAGCAATTAGTCAGAGCAATACAGTATACACTGTAATAGAAGTACGTAGGCGCTGAATAATGGCATTTGTCAGTTAAACGTTTACGAATGAGCGAAATAAAGAAAAAAAGGGAGAGAAAGCTCAAGGATAGAGTTGTATGAGAATCTGCGTTGCATCAGAGCAAGAGTGCAAGAAGTCAGGCAAATATATGGGATATACAGATATACCTCAAATAGAAGACGAGCTACCATCATAGCTAAGCAGGTAAAAGAGTCGGGTTAAGAGAAAGAGACAGATGGATACAGGCAACATGGCATAGGGCGAGCTACAGTTATTTAAATATAAGCATAACGGACTTAAGCATAAGGGTATAATGAGATATTAGTGAGATGTATGCAGGCAGATAAAGGTATAGCCAGGTAGTTAAAGCGAGATAGAGTGCAGTGCCTAAAAATATGCATAGAATGGGAGAGATTGAAAAAAGAGAAAGAGAGAGACTATGAGTGAGGCTTGGATAGAAAAACCTGGGAAAAGAACTAGATGCACGAAAAAAGAGAGAGACAGAGAGAAAGACTTATAGCATACAGAGAAGATACATTGAAAGACAGAGAGAGAGATAAATAGTGAGACAGAGATGCTAATAAAAAGAAGAAGAAAAATATATATGTATCTACTTTATATGTATACGAGGGCAGTTAGCAAAGTTCTCTAGTCAATAACGAAATCCGTTACGATTAAAATTTAATACTAATTTAAGTAACTTTCCCATGTTTAAGTTCGGAAACTGTTCAGACTACTCTCGCAATTTGTGCTTCTCCATTCATCTTTATCTATCACCGGCGGACATTTCAATCAGTCAATTTCACGGCGTCTACCGATTGGCTTTAATGACGTGTCTCTTCGTTTATTTTGACAAGTTTTGTTTTCTCTAGATTCCGATTTGATGTGGCAGCAGAAGAAGCGCAAGGCGAAATTCATTCATTAGGCAAAAAAATTAAATTTAATGTGCGCTGATGTCTGCTGTGCCCAAAGAGGGCAGCGAAAAGTGGAATTGTTAGCAAAAGATTAATGAGGCTGGCTAGTGGCAAACGAAATGCCAGAGACGACGCGCCACATAATGCAAATGCCGCAATGAAATATTTGTGGCACTTGTGGCGCCCCGACAGACATGAGGCAAATGCAAAAAAAAAAAGAAAAAACCACAAAAAATAGATGACAACAAGTTGAACGAACCGCAAAGCTGACCACAAAAATTGGCACAAGTTCACAGAGATAGAGATAAATACATAGAGAGCGAGGGAGAGGGGGGCAAATGAACTCAATCAATGGGGCTGTTGAGTATTGTTGCTGAGGCTATTCAAATCGCAGCGACTACCGAAACAGCCAGCGACATACATTGAAATCGTTGTGGCTAAGCTGGGCGACTAACAGACCATTTAGATATTGTCCACTTGGCCAGGGCCTGTGGCTTCAATCGATAGCCAAAGGCGAAGGGCGCGTCACGTGCAAACAAAGTCAACAAATGAAAACTAATCGGCAATTATAAGCAAATGTCTGCAGCAAAACAGAAAGCGGAAGAACTAAGCCACAACAACAAAAAAGAAACCGAAAGAGACAAAGAGGCAGACAGACAATTTTAGCATGCAACATGCGGCGTATGAGTAATGCGTGTTAGCCAAATGTCGCACAACGGCTAATAAGAAACATGCAAGCATAGCCAAATGCAGTAAATACGAATATTGAATGTCCTAATAACAGTTCGTGCTCATATACATAGGCTGGAATATGCCCGTGCCAAAAGAATTCTATTGTGAAGCGAAGCTTTAGGGCTTCCTGCTGGTAGACGGTTCTAAGCTCGAGTCTATGACAATGTCTAATGTTACTCTCTGGGCTTATAGTCAAATTGTAATGTAGAGTATGCGCGTGACAAGAAGACAACAAACAGCAAAAACAGTAGGCAGAACAGAATAAAGCTGCTCGACTTAGCCAACAAGAGTCAAATGCAAACAAGGCTGAAAGCGCGAGAGAAAGAGAGATAATATGACGACATGAGAAGCAGAGCAAAGCAAGACAAACAGCCGGCGAATACTTTTCAATTTTGGGCGCAGACTTAATGCCGCTCACTGCAATCGAGGCTAAGGCTGAAGCTGAGGCTAAGGCTGAGGCTGAGGCTGAGGCTGAGGCTGAGGCTGAGGCTGAGGCTGAGGCTGAGGCCGAGGCCAAAAGGCGAGTCGCAATGAATCAGAGCCGCCTCTCGGCTCTTCTTTCATATCGTAATGGCAATTACCCAGTGCTTGATGGGCGGCAGAGGAGAACGAACGGAGGCTATTAAGGGCAACATAAATGATTGCATACGTGCAGGCGCCGAGGCAGGCGCAATTTCGGCTAATCAAATAAATTTGTCAGTTTATGCGAGTCGCCACATTTCACGCATGTTAAGTGGGTCGCGAGACACGGTCCCGCTCTATCTCTTTGCTGGTTCCTCCTCTCCGTATATTCATGCTCATTTTAGGCAGTTTCTCTATGAAGTTCCCCCTGTCTGGCTGCTGCTCCAAGGTCTATTTTTAAAGCCTCAAAACTTAATCATTCGACTATTTGGAGTTTTGGTTTGTATACTTTGGCTTTTACTCTCTGAAAACGGGTATATAAGTGATATGATATGATGATATGATGATATGATGATATGATGATATGATGATATGATGATATGATATGATGATATGATGATATGATGATATGATGATATGATGATATGATGATATGATGATATGATGATATGATGATATGATGATATGATGATATGATGATATGATATGATGATATGATGATATGATGATATGATGATATGATGATATGATGATATGATGATATGATGATATGATGATATGATGATATGATGATATGATGATATGATGATATGATGATATGATGATATGATGATATGATGATATGATGATATGATGATATGATGATATGATGATATGATGATATAATGTAAATATTAAGACTAGATTTACTTTTTCTGGTTTCCTATAAAGGCTGTTTGAATGTCAGTTGTTCTCGCCCTTCAAGCTCAAGATTGAGCCAAGCAATTATCAATAACAATTATCTTCGACAGAGCATTGCGCAGTCGTCTAGAATGAACTTAATTGATAGGTATACACCAGGCTTACTGGGGCGACAGGTGTGCGTAGCGTTTGGGGGCGGGGCTGTGGGTGGTTGTGAGTGTGTTTGCATGCACAACGCAAATAAAGGGTGTATTTGTTAGAAATACGCAGTCATGCAAGGCTTTAATGGAGCATTAACAAGTGATTTGATTTGTAGTTAAGAAGCAGAGACACAGGTAGACGGATAGCGAGAGAGAAGTGGACCCATACACCTGCACATAGTTGTATTTTCTCTTTAGCGTGCGAAATGTGATTTAGTGCTATTTATTAAAATTTATTTTCCAATTTATCCACAATTTGCGTCGCTGACAACGCCTTTGATAGCAGTCGGATACCCTCTGCTCCAGCAACACTCCCCACTTTCGCCGCTATTCTCCTCGGTTTCCTTATGCCGGTTTGTGGTTGGCAACGTCAGTCGCAGCCGCTATCGTTGGCAACGCGATGAAATCGTTTTATTTCCCTTTGACGCTTCCGCCGGCGGCCGCTTCACTTGCCAC